TGTGTGTGTGTGTGTGTATATATATATTATTGATTTGTTGATTTGTCAAATATGCATATGATTCGTGTCGCACGAGACTCTGCAATATCATGTTATCATGATGTATATTTACAATGATTTACCAACACTAATATCGATTCATGTCATGCACAACATTCATTCATTACAATATTATAAAATCATAGGAAAGAAAAAGAGGAGAAAGAGAGAAAGTGGGTCTTACAATAATGACACTAGTTAAATTAATAATTTATTATGTTAGTATTTTACCTTAATTTTCATTTTATATATATTAAATTACATTCTCCTCACTTCCAAAATGGTTAAATCATACACTCTTTTTTCTTTTCTTATTTTCTAAACTATGCATTCCCTTCTATTAAAGACTTTGATACACATTTTTTTTTTAATTAGGTAATACATACAATAGTATTTTCATATAATATTGTCGTTATCATTTTTCCTAAGGTTAAATCACATGTATCTAATGTGTTCAATAAATAACATTCAATCAAATGCATTGTTGACTTGCTTCATATAAAACTACAAAGTCTACATGCTTAAGTGATATGTTGGTTGTAGTATGTTTTACAAATCCTCGAAAAATTGTCGTACCACTGTATGTGAGAAAACATCATGTTCACAACAAACTATTATGAATGTCAAATTCTTGTATAGCATTTAAATTAAACTAAATTGATGCATACTATTTTATCATTGCTTAAAATAAGGTAATTATATTCGTATACTCAATTTCTAACTTATTTCATTTTTCACAATTTTTTATTATTTCTTTAAATTTTTCATCACACCACTTATTACATTATGTATTTTCTCTTTCTTTCTTTTCATTTTTAATCTCATTCTTTTAATTAAGTTGTGCTACTAAGATGACAAAGAAATATAAGATCTAAATAAATGGTAAAAACTACTCAAAAGAGGTTTAGAATAGATGACTTTTACCTTTTAATTCACTACTTAAATCCATAAGTCATTTTTTTTTTAATGTTCATTATCAAGGAGTATCTCTAATCAAACATAAAAACAAATCTCGTTTGAGAGTTTGATAAGTATCAAATAGTTGGACATTTTCTCTCAACTTTAATTTTTTGCATATGTAAGAGTCGTGTGATAGACATCAACTGGTATGAGAATAAGGACTGAAATTTATTTAATTTAACTGGTACAAAATACAAATTATATAGGAAATTTAGTAAACTGATTTGAGTACAAAGGTTCCCTCACAAGATGTTCGAGAGCTTGGTCTCTCCCTTCCAAAACCACTCAAAAAATGCCTGACCTCTGTCCTCCTTCTTCTGCTATTTTTTATTCTGCTAATAAATGCCTAGAGGCAGTTACGCTTGCCCCACACTAATAGCATCTAGTCCTAATTAAAACAACAATAACTGCTAAAATAATTAATAATTGCTAAAACAATTACAACAATAACTGCTAAAATAATTAATAACTGCTAAAACAATTCAGTCCTATTATAAAACCTAAGTCTTGGCACTCCTCTTATAATATTTACTTATAAGAGGCCTAACAATACTCCCCCCCAAAAGAGTCACCTTGTCCTCAAGGTGAAAAGAAGGAAATTGCTTCATGATGGTTTCCACTGGTTCCCAAGTGGCTTCAAATTCTGGCAGGCCAGTCCACTGAATAAGTACTTCGGCAATCCCGTGAGCAGTGTTACGCACTGCTTTCACAACAGCTAGGGTTACCTGCAATTCCAACTCTTCCAACAACATAGGTGGTAAAGGTTGAGGAGTTGCTGAGGGAGAGAGGGCCTTCTTGAGTAAAGAAACATGGAATACAGGGTGGATTTTACTCTCTAGTGGAAGGGCTAACTGAAAAGCAACTGCTCCAATCAGTTTTGTGATCTGATAAGGACCATAAAAACGTGGACTCAGCTTCTCACTTCTTTTTCGAGCCAATGACCGTAGCCTATACGGCTTGAGCTTGAGATACACCCAATCACCAATAGCCAATAAGGATACTGCGTGTCGAGATTGGTCAGCATACTTCTTCATTTGATTCTGGGCTGTGACCAAATTTTCCTTGAGATCATGTAACATTTGATCTCGGTCATAAGTCATCAGGTTCACCTGTTCCACAGTTGACGGAATAGTGGTTCCCTTCAGAAGATGGGGTGGATCGCGGCCATATAATGCTTTGAAAGGAGTCAATTTTAGAGAGCTGTTGTAGTTGGTGTTAAACCAGAACTCAGCCCAACTCAACCACTTAGGCCACTACTTAGGCTTACTTCCAGTGAGGCACGTCAGATAAGTCTCTAAGCACCGGTTGACCACCTCAGTTTGGCCACCTGTTTGGGGATGGTATGCGGTGCTAAACTTGAGTCGAGTGCCAGCCAATTTGAACAATTCTGACCAGAAGTGACTGAGGAATATTTTTTCATGATCTGATACAATAGAAGAGGGGAACCCATGCAATTTAACTACCTCTGTGATAAAAACTTCAGCAACCTCTTTTGCAGTAAAAGGATGACTAAGTGCAAGGAAATGAGCATATTTAGTCAATCTATCAACCACTACTAAGATGACATTTTCTCCTTGAGCCTTGGGAAGCCCTTCAATAAAGTCCATTGATATATCAGCCCACACTTGATTGGGTATTGGTAGTGGTTGAAGAAGTCCTGCCGGAGATAGAGCTTGTTATTTATTCCTTTGGCACGTCTCACACGTAGCTACGTGATGCTGGATGTCTTTCCTCATGCCTTCCCAATACACAACTTCAGAGATTCTTTTATAGGTTCGAAAGAAACCCGAATGGCCCCCTATAGCAGAGTTATGAAATTCTTGTAACAATAATGGTATGCGAGAAGAGCCTTTTGGAAGGACTAACCTACCTTTATAAAACAACTTCTGATTTTGAAATTTATAGCCCGGATGGGAATTAGAATCTTTTATCAAATCATGAATTATCCCTTGAAGCTTAGGATCTTGATGAATTTCAGATTCCCAATCTTCCATTTGCTCAAAGTAGACTGAGGACAAGGCAGAAAATGTCATTTTTCTAGAAAGAGCATCAGCCACTCCATTCTCCCTTCCTGGTCTATAACGTATCTCAAAATCCAAACCCATAAGTTTTGAGGTCCACCTGAAGTATTCCTCGCTCATTAGTCGTTGTTCAGTCAGAAATTTAAGGCTCTTCTGATCAGTCAGAATTATAAAGTGCCTTCCCAACAAGTAGTGCCTCCATTTTTGTATAGCCATCACAATTGCCATTAATTCTCTCTCATATACTGACTTAGATTGGGCCCTATCAGATAGAGTCTGGCTGAGGAAAGCCACGGGCCTACCCTCTTGCATTAGAACCGCCCCTAGCCCTTTGTTTGATGCATCAGTTTCGATAATAAATGTTTTGGAGAAATCGGGGAAAGTCAATATAGGCAATTCAGCCACCAGGTGTTTTAATTTGTCCAAGGCAGCTTGTGCTTCAACATTCCATTGAAATTTATCCTTCTTCAATAGTTGAGTCAAAGGCCTGGCTATCTTACCATAGTCTCGAACAAACCTTTTATAGTAACCTGTCAATCCCAAAAATCCCCTCAAAGCTTTAATATCCTTAGGTATTGGCGACTCTAACATAGCATCAATTTTTCGTGGATCTGCTGCCACCCCTTTTGCTGAAATGATATGACCCAAGTATTCCAATTGAGATTGGCTAAAAGTACATTTTTTTTGTTAGCAAACAATTGGTTCTCCTTCAATAATGCCAAAACTGCCCGTAAATGCCTCTGATGGTCATACTCACCCTTACTGTAAACTAGAATATCATCAAAGAAAACGAGTACAAATTTCCTCAAATACGGCTTTAGCACCTCGTTCATAAGAGATGGAAAGGTGGAAGGTGCATTGGTGAGCCCGAAAGGCATGACAAGAAACCCATAATGCCCTTCATGAGTTTGAAAAGCTGTTTTATGAATGTCCTCTTCCCTCATCCTAATCTGATGGTAACCGGATCGTAAATCCAACTTGGAAAAAATCACGGCTCCTCCCATTTCATCAAGCAATTCATCAATAATAGGGATAGGGAACTTATCTGGTATAGTAATCTTGTTAAGAGCCCGGTAATCTACACAAAAACGCCATCCACCATCTTTTTTTTTTCACCAAGATTATAGGACTCGAATAAGGACTAACACTAGGTCTAATGATACCAGATTTAAGCATATCATCTATCAACCTTTCAATTTCATTCTTTTGATAGTGTGGGTACCTGTACGGTTGGAGGTTGGGGATATTAGATCCTTCCTTCAATCGAATTGCATGGTCTTGTCTTCTGGGAGGTGGTAATCCTTGCGGCTCTTGAAAGATTGAATCATAATCTTCCAAAACCAATTCTGTCCAAGCGGGACAAGTTGCTGGTTCTCTGCTTTCAGCTTGCATCTGACAGTATGTCACTAGGAATCCATGACCTTGATCATGTAGAGCCTTTAAAATAGACTTTAAAGAAGCTAAAGCTCTCGTTAAATCGGAGTCTCCCTTTAGTGTGTGATATCCACCCGCAATCGGAATTCTAAGAGTTAATTCACGAAAATTTGCTCTTATTTCTCCTAGACTAGCCAACCATTCCATTCCCAACACCACATCCACTCCTCCAAGATCAAAGACATAGAAATCTTGTTCAATGTTTAGACCTTGTATCTCCAACTTCAATTTAGGACATACCTCTTCACAATCCAGCTTTCTTCCGTCACCCACCTCCACTGTATAAATGGAGGTTGCATACATATCCAGTTTCTATTGTTTCACAAACTTGGCTGAAATGAAATTATGAGAGGCTCCACAATCAATAAGTACCATGACCTGTTCTTCCCCAATCTTACCCCACAATTTAATTGTTTTCTTTGATGTAAGGCCAGCAATGCTACACATAGATAATTGAAGGTGTGTTAGCTCTCCGTTTTCATCAACCACCGTCATTTCTCCCTCTGCATCTCCTTCTTCTTCCCCTTCGGCCAACACTAAAATTTGTAACTGTTTATGTGCACACACATGGACTGGACCAAACTTTTCATCACACCTGAAACACAATCCCTTCCTAGACCTCTCTTATAACCCTGCATCTGTTAACTTTCTAAAGCTTCTTCCTCTAAAAGTATTAGAAGGTTTCACCACACTTCCCTCTCCAGTAGAACTGCCAGTTCCGGAAACGTGGGGTTGTTGCTTTGCTCCCGGTTCTCACGTCACTGTGCGATTACTATTATATGTTCTCATTGGCCTGCTCATCATACTTGTTGAATTTCCCCCTTTTGTGATCAATTGGTTCTTCTCATCCACTCTTTGTGCACAATCCATTAAATCAGCCAAGCTTTCTGTTGGGTGAAGCTTTAATTCTGCTTTAATTAATTCCTTAATCCCATTCAAAAAGATGCCCTTCAAGTATGCAGGTTCTGCACTCTTTAATGGACTAGCATAGAGTTTGAACTTCTCTCTGTATTCTTCCACGGAGCCTGTTTGCTTGAGACTCAACAACAGTTCAAAAGGATTGTCAACCATGGTTGGTTGGAAACGCCTAATAACCGCTGCTCGAAAATCCTCCCAAGTCGGTTGGTGAGTAGAGAACTCCCACCATTGATACCAAGTTAATGCTTTTCCTTCCATCGCCACCATAACAGCCTGTAATTTTTTCTCTCCAGACATTCCTTTTAAATCAAAGTATCTCTCCACTCTGGTTGTCCAGCCATACATATCCTCTCCATCAAAAACAGGTATCTCTAACTTTCTCCACCTATCCACTTTGTATCGCCCACCATTGTGGCCCCCCTGTGGCCTGCTCGGAAGGATTGTGTGGCTTGCTTCGCTGTTCTCTTCCTCCTGTCTCGCATGAATTTCTCGCACTGAGACCTGCACTTCATTTAACTGTTTTGCGCTCTTCACTATTGTTTCACGCATCGCCAGCAAACCTTCAAACCCCCTTTCAACCTTCAAACCCCCTTTCCAAAGCCTCCACTCTCGCCTCCATACTGCGTGTCGACACCATGAATTAGTCTCCAGGAACGTGTGGCTCTGATACCAGTTGATAGACACCAACTAGTATGAGAATAAGGACTGAAGTTTATTTAATTTAACTGGTACATAATACAAATTATATAGGAAATTTAGTAAACTGATTTGAGTACAAAGGTTCCCTCACAAGATGTTCGAGAGCTTGGTCTCTCCCTTCCAAAACCACTCAAAAACTGCTTGACCTCTGTCCTCCTTCTTCTACTATTTTTATTCTGCTAATAACTGCCTAGAGGCAGTTACGCTTGCCCCACACTAATAGCATCTAGTCCTAATTAAAACAACAATAACTGCTAAAATAATTAATAATTGCTAAAATAATTACAACAATAACTGCTAAAATAATTAATAACTGCTAAAACAATTCAGTCCTATTATAAAACCTAAGTCTTGGCACTCCTCTTATAATATTTACTTATAAGAGGCCTAACACCGTGATTCAAACACAAGTCACTTGATTAAGTAACAAGAATTCCTCTCGTCATTCATATTAACTCAAATTAGTAGTCATTTATCTTATTTGAATTATGATATGAATACTATATTATATTTAACATTAGTATAATTGTCTTTTTAAAATACTAATTTAATATTAAATATAATTTAAAATTTATGTGATTCATAAACTAAAATGTGAGTCATGAACTAAAATTGTGTGATAAAAAAAATAACCAAAATAAAGGGAGTTCACATGTTCGTTTGATTTAGATTTCATCAAACTAGTTACTCGATCAATTAAAATAGTTTAAATTAGACCGAGTTATATTTGGACAAATTTTTTTATCAAATTAGAATGAAACACTAACACTCAAACAAATATCGAAAACATATACAACCTTATTATAAATGTATAAGTGAAAATCCGGATCCAATAAATCAATATTTTTTAATCATCTTTTCCATGTTAGAAAATTAAATCAAACATACAAATAATAATATTAAAACAACATTCTCTTGGGTTAAAATTTCCCATTTCTTTTTAAATTTGTCTAGTGGGTTGAGTTGGATTTACAACACTAAAACTTAATACCCAACCCGAAATACTACATATTTTTTTGGGTTAAATTTGATTTTACCTAAACACCATAAAAACCCAAACCAAATTGTTTGGGTTGAATAGGTTTGAATTCATGAACACCCCTAACCAATATCACAGGTTTAGTATTAGAGGAATAATAGTGCAATTTATTTATCTCTTTCTTTTCAATGCCTATCTATCCTTTGAAAGTTAATTTTTTTTATCAAATGGAATATTGATAATCCACAAAATTATGAATTTCATATCAAAATTGATCCCTTTTGACGGGCAACCGCCACGGGGATATGCTCTTGATTGCACAAAAGTACATGTCAAACCAACGTTCACTCTTTTTGCCTCCATGAATTGTGCTTTGTGCACAAAATCATAAGAAAACAATCTCTTGGATGTTGTACCTTAAAAGCCAGCAATATGAATGAGGGACAACTCAAGAATTAGTTTTTCCCAGGACGGAAGGAAAGCTCAAGGAGCACTTTCCAAGGCCAAAACTAATCTTGCACCAAAATTCAGTTTAAACCAAACTCTCAATTGCAAACTCAGTTTACTATGTTGAGACTTTGAATCATACGAGAATATTTCTCCTGCAATGTAATAAATCCTGGATTCCGCAAGACAGCTGAACTTGATAACTAGGGATGTATACATTCCTTTCCAAAATTTCTAAACAGCAACTTCTGACTCCAACATCAGGCATTAACTGTAAATGTCAATGAAAACAATGGAACTTCAACTAGAAGATTTACAACTTTCAACAACTCTCCTAATTCGTTCAATAACCAGAGGGATCTCCTCTAATGTTATAGTAGTAAAACAAATTCGAAACCATCCTGGTTCTATGCAATGGCAGGATGATCCAGGAGTTATATTGATCTTAGCAATACTCAAAAACTTCTCCCATAACTCAATTTCTCCTTTCTCACTGTAAGGTCGGATTAGTCCATTCATATCAGCCCAACAGTACATGCCAGCACAGCTCTTGGCACACTTGATTCCTAGTTTACTTAAACAATCCACAAATTCATCATGCACTTGTTGTATTCTTTTGCGGTTGGTCTCAAAGTACTCGCGAATAAATCTTTTATCTGAAAGCATTGATGTAACTAACCTCTGGGTTGGAGCAGATATAGAGGAAAATCTACTCAACTTCTTGGCAGCAGCCAAAACACTGTCATTGAATGAACATATGACTCCAACTCTAAAGCCAGCAAGTGAGAGGTCTTTTGACAGGCCATATACTATATGAACCCGACTCTTGTCTATGTAATCTGAATCAAGAATTTCAGCTAGGCTCACAAACTTTTCACTTCCATATGTGGAGCCTGCAAATACTTCGTCAGCGATGATATGAATGTTCTTTTCTTCAGCAAAATCTAGAAGACTGTAAAGCATGTCTTGTGTCATGATATTGCCAACAGGATTTGAAGGATTGGAAATTAGAATTCCACGAACTTTGACTCCTCGCTTTCTTGCTTGACTATATGCTTGTTCAAGGGCAGTGATATTTAGATTGAAATTGTCGGCACTGCGACAGTGGACAGGTATTAGGTCCACCCCTGGACGCCATCTCACATCCCTGTCAAATCTGCATAGTTGTTTTTTCTTCAAATTAGCTATTAAAATTAACACAAGAAATTAGAAACAGAAATTTAAGAAAGTGTTATTGATTACCCTGGATAATATGGTGTAGGGACAAGGAATGCATTTCCTTGGTCTGCCAAACAGAAGGACAATATCTCAATTGCAGGAGTTGCTCCAGCTGTTAGTACCATATTAGATGGGTCAAATTTCACTGATTCCCCCATCACCTGATGCATAAAATCTGACAAAGCCTGCACAATCAAAGCAAAGCAAAAAAAAAAGTTTAACGGATAAGTAAAACAACGGCATGACCTTAAATGAACCAAATTTAAACATAGCAAAGATTATAGAAGAACAGTACCCAACAAATGGACAAGTCCACTATTGAATAATACCAAATAACAAACAAAGAACAACATTTAATTTTTAATCTTTAAAACAACAAATCGCTCTAATTAAAACCACAATGCCTGTGTACAGCACTACAATAAAGTAATTACGTTCAAGAGCAGACAAATATCATGTATCTTAAAGAGAGAATTTTGAAATGTAATTATTCTGATAAGACAGTTACGTGATGTGTTGTGCGGCACTTCTGTGTGTTTGGTAACAGTCGGACAGCAATAAATGTGTTTTATTGTAGTTGCGTGTACTTCTTAAATAGGATGTGTGACAGATTTCTTATTCATTGTGAGTTACATTAGTGAAGTTTGTTTGAAAGAGGAGACTCCTTGTTTTACGCCTGTGTTAGAGTTCTGTAGTAATCTTTACAACATACTCTGGAATCTGGATTAATTCCAGAATCCTTTCAATTAAATCTTCCAGTTTGTGTTCAAACTCGAGACTAACAGATTCTAAAAGCTCAGGTTCTTCATTTAAAATATTAAGTAGCAAGATACAATACAAATTAAAATTAAATTAAACCCTATCAACTAACAAGTTTCTAGCTTAACTGGCACCAATTCCAAGACAGAGGTGTTAACTGGCACCAACTCCAAGACAGAGGTGTGATGATAACATCTGTCATTAGAACATTTTCAATCCTCCATTATGTTTGAAATGCTTTAAGGCCATATGTATTCCTTCATCTAACAAATTAAACTTTTGGAATGATTGGTCATGACATAGTATCCGAGCCTCTACAAACAATTGGTCTAGAGTTCTATCCTTACAGCTCCCATACTTAAATAAGTTGAAATTGAAATCAAGCAAAAGTAGGCCTGCGCATTATTCACATCCCACGGTAAAAATCTCTTGGGCGAGAGATTGAGTTAGAAATACTAGAAAACACCACTAATTTATATTTGCCTGACAGTTTTAATTTTTGGAATAATTGGTTCTTATCACACTATGCCAACTTTCTTGCTATCCTACGTGAATGCTTGAATTTCGGTTATACCATAAAAATAACAACAATAACAGATAGTGTAGAACACCAACTTGATCCTTCAAAAGGTTTAAGCTTAGTCACATTAGTCTTTTACTGTCCATTATGTCCCTTCCACGGCCGACTTAATTGAATGACATCATTTTTCAGGAACGCAAACGATAATTTCCATCTTTCAGAACTAATGTGACCGATTCCAAATCCTTCATACACCAATGGCGCTTCAGACACAAGTCACAACAAAAACCAACAACCCAATCCGCAAAACCCAAATAACAACACAAAATGAGAACGCACATCATTTTCAGCACCCATGCAACCCCTTGAAGTTTCACGAAATTGCACACACTCGCTCCCTTTTTCTATCCTTACACTAACTCCCTTATTTGTTTGAGAAACCCTACACTAACACTCCTTAAACATTACATTAACCCCCTTAATTATTTGAAAGAGAGAAAAAAAAAATTACACTATGAGTGTGACCCCTTGTAAGAGAGGTCACAGTAAACATTAAAAAAGCAAGGGAGTACGCAATCTCACGAAACTTCAAAGAATGTCAGTATAATTTACTCTAAAACAAGTGAATCGAGACACTCCACTCCCTCAAGTGTCCATGGTCCCAGCCAGTTCCCACTCGAAACAAACCAAGTTTTTTTTTTTTTTTTTTTTAACTTAATTCAAAAGAAAGAATTAATAAATCCCGATTACATGGCAATTGAAGATTAGTATAGTAGTGGTCACAAGAATCACTCAAACAAAACATGACAAAAATCAACACTAGCAGTAGCAGCATTACCACTAACTAACAGTAGGAAGCAGAAAAAAAAACCTCTTACCATCTTCAATTCCATCAATCCATCATACGTCTGGTACGGCGCAATCCCATTGATATTCAAACCAGTTCCCACAACAGAGTCCTCCAAGTTCCGCGCCACCCATTCCCCAATCAAATCCAAGCACAGCTACACCCAGCAACCAACAACAACAACAACAACAACATTAGCGACGCAAAGAAAACCAAGGAAAGAAACAAACTGAGCAACAGAGGAATGATGGAACGAACCTTGTTATCCGCTAAGCCCAACTGAATAACCCCATCGGGATTGTCGAGGGCGTGGTAGGGATCCCTGGAAACCCTATCCAAGCCGACGTAATAGAGCGATTCGTCGGGCCTGGAAATCTGCGTGGCGAGCCTGGAGATGCGGACGCGGGAAATGGAGCCACGCGCGGACAAATTGGAGCGTGAGGAGGTGCGAGGGAGCGTGGGCTCGGAAGAGGGGGAGGGAGGGTTGCAGTTGGCGGTGGAACGGCGGCGTTTGAGGTAGAGCTGGAGGAAGTAGAAGAGCGCGCAGGGGACGAGGGTCCCGAGGAGAAGGCCCCCGCGGCCCTGGACCACTCCCTGGAGGGGGACGATGAGTTTCATGCCGCTGCTCGAGAACGACGGGTTTTGGGCTTCGCGGGCTTCGGGCTTCGAGGAGGGCTTTCGGGTTTGGGTCATTGACCCGGGAGTGAGTGGGTTTGGTTTGTGTGGTGGGAGGAGGAGAAGAAGCAGAAGAAGGAAGAGGGAATGAGAAGAAGAAAGAAAGTGAACCAAACAAAATCAACCAACGAAGTGTTTGTGTTAGCTACCTTGTCTCTTTTTTTGTTTTTACCTTTCTACCCTTCCTTCGCCTTCCGGATCCTCCTACTTCTAAACATCACTCCCCCATTTTACTTTATTTTATTTTATTTTCCCTTATTTTAAGAAGGAACAAACAAAACTAGGGTTAATCAATAATCACGCCCCACGCCCTTCATCTTTCCATTTTTGTTTTTTTCTTTTATCATATTTATTCTTGTGCCGGGGATTTTATTTTATTTACGCTTCCAATGTCACTTTTAAATTGAATTTGTCTCTTTTGAGAGCGTTCCAAGGTTGAAATTGAATGGTTAGAGGGGGAGAATTTTGATCAAAGTCAAATTATAGTGTTAATAAATGAATATATGTTGCATAGACCCATTTTGTATTGTTGAAAACAAATTTTAAAGAAATTATGCTTATTTTTTATTAAAATATTATATTAGAGTATAAGGTAAGATGTTATTCAATTTCAAAATTAATTATCAATCTATTTAAGAATCAATCATCAATCATTACATATTAAATACAAATCTTTATTTTAACTTCTTATTTAATTTAGTTTTTATTTATAAATTTAAAAATATCTATTTATATAAATTTTAAACATAATTTATATATTCAAACATAATTAATATATATATATATAACTTATTATAAATTTTAGTTATATATAATAAATATGAAATATCAATTTTCAATACAATTACAGATTACGTATTTTATCTTTGGTGTAAATTCTTATAAAAGGATATAAAATTATATATATATATATATATATTCACTCATTAGTTTTAGCAAGATAGATTTAACTAGTTATGTTACTCTTATGAGGCAAAGAAATTATGTTTAATTCTAATGCTTTTTGTTTAAATATATTTTTATAGAATTGTTTTGCAAATAGGATATAAAAAAAATTGTTTTGTGATTTTTCAAACAAATTATAAATCTTAATTAAAATGTGGGGAAAAAAACTTACGTTTGTTTTTGGGAATAAATTTTTAAAGTAAAAATAGAATAATCATTTATCTAATATGTCTTTATTTATATTTTTAAAATTTAAAATTATAAAATTATCAGGAGGAGAAATAAGTTATTAAAATCAATCTTTTCACCTTTTCTTGTGAACTAAAACAATATTGTTTATTAAGGATTAAAGTGTATTTTGCAAGTGCTCAACCTGCCTTCATATATCTTAGTTCCATTGACGAATTAAGACAAATTTCATACTTTGTAGATTTTAATAACTGAGACCATAATTCGGTTGGTTAAAGTGACAAAATGTTTCATCAAAGTTTATTTAAGTAATTGAGAATAATACTCCGAATTATATATATATATATATA